CGGCCGCGCGCTGGGCCTGGGCCGGCCGGGAGGATGCTCGGGCCGGCCCGGACGCGCTCTCCACGTGGGGCGGCCACCCTGTCGCGCCAGCGTGCGCAGGAACCTGGCGCGGCGGCGAGGGGATCGGAGGGGCTTTAAGATGGCTTTTAGGAAACCGAAGGCTTTGCTGGGAAGGCTCTCTCGGCAGGGGGGCTGCCAATCCTGGAAAGATTACCGGAAATGAACCGCGCGATTGGGCCTCTTCACGCCCACTTAGCTTTGTAACGTTTGCAACGCTTACCGGACAAAAGGGCACCTCCGAAGCACACCCACTTTGTCTCCTCTCCCTTCTGTGCCTCATACTTTCCAGACCTCATAGTTGCTCCCATTAAGTGTGCTCCAAAATCGTGTAGGGCCGCATTTGAGATCAGCCTGCTTGAATTGAGTTGCAGGGGTGAGAGAGGTCAGATTGGAATCCTGGGGTTCATATCCTAAGAAGGAAAAATCGAGTGTTTACGCTGGTAGGGTAGTGCCTTCCCTGTCTTTGTAGGTGTGTCTGATGTCTTCATTGTAATAGGTACAGGGCGGAATCTTCAACTTTCTATAAAAAGTCATCTTACCGTTGTTATAGGTGGTGGTGTCCTAAAATGTATTATTGTCATGGATTAGTTTCCATATTCTAGGTAGCAGCTAGTACTGTTTTACTGCAAATGTCAAATAATAAGCACCAAGAGTTTCTGAATAAGGTTGTTTCTCACCTTTCATAATAGAAACTTTAATGGTTGGCCTTTTGTTTTCTTGCTGTGGAACTCTTAGAAAAGAAGTGCTACAGGGAAACATTTTCTGAGTAGCCTAGCAGATGGTGTGATTTGTGAAGTCTTAATTTAAAAGTAATCTGGCTACTATATGCATGAATACATGGAGAGCATGCCTTTGTAGTAGGCACTTTTTTTTTCTAAAGACTTGAAATTATTCATAGCGTTATAAGAAAACTAGTTAATTTTATCTTGTAATTAGTACTAAGTCTTATGCTCCTTTTTCTTGCAGAAAAAGAACAGCAAGAAGCAATTGAACATATCGATGAAGTACAAAATGAAATAGACAGGTAAATTTTTTCTATTTTACTTTGGAGAAGTTTTCTGAGGTGCATCTGATAGCATCATTGAAACTATGGTAAAATAAAACTGTATCCGTTGGCTAAAGGGACATGATTATAACTTGTTTGTAAATGCTCTGTAGATTCACTGTTATTTTTCAGTGAAATATTTGTACAGTTACAAAGTATTTGAAAATACATTACCCTTACAAAGATTGGGTTTGCTTTCAGAGGCTACAAATTGCCTGAATTAGAATGTAGGACTTCTGACAGTTTAGCATTGTGGCATCATTGTTGCTCTAACTTGCCTTATAACTTTGTTACTTAGTAGCAGCCTCATTTAGAAATCCTGCTTGAGGGAAACAATTTGAAGTTTGCCTGGTCGTAGGCGCTGGGAGCGAAGCAGCGCTCCCGCCGCGGGTTCGGATCCTATATAGGGATGACCGGTGCGCTCACAGAGCTCACTGGCTGAGTGCGGTGCGGCCGGTCTCAAAAAGGACAAAAAATAATAATAATAAAAATAAGTAAATAAATTGGGGGCCGGCCCGGTGGCGACTGCTACAGTGCTCCCGCCGAGGGTTCGAATCCCACATACAGACCGGTTCCCACTCACTGGCTGGGCGATGTGCGGGCGCAGCACTGGGGATTGCGATCCCGTTGCCGGTCCCGGTCCGGTGTGGGCGCGACACTGAGGGTTGCGATCAGGTGTGGGCGCGACACTGAGGGTTGCGATCAGTTGCCGGTCACGAAAAAAGACGAAAAGGAAAAAAATAAAATAAAATAAATAAATAAATACACAATGTTACCAGAATGCTCAGTTTGGGCACTCGTTTATTGAGTGCTTATTGATAAACAGGTAAAATTGCTGTCTCAGTTTTGGTTTCTCTCTAGCTATAAATAGGCATTCTGGTTATTATAAATAGGTACTTTGCACAGTTCTAAAGCTAATAAGAGTAATGTACATTCTGTAGTCTCAACCAGTTTTTGTATTTGTCAAATACTGTAATTGTCAACATGTCTTTTCATTTGCTGCAGACTTAATGAACAAGCCAGTGAGGAGATCTTGAAAGTAGAACAGAAATATAATAAACTCCGCCAACCATTTTTTCAGAAGAGGTCAGAATTGATCGCCAAAATCCCAAATTTTTGGGTAACAACATTCGTCAACCATCCGCAAGGTATGTCATGGGCAGAGTGTTATTAAAGGATATAGGATGTTTATTAGTTAAAAAATAGAAGAACCTAAAGTCAAAACAAAAAAAAATTAAAAATTTGGAAAAAAGGAATTGGAGGAAACTTGATGAGAACTTAGTCCAACATGCTGCCTTAAAGAAAGGGAAGAAGACTTGCAGTTAATGCTTTCTGTCTGTTTAGGAGAGGTTATATATTCTAAGTTGGAACTCAGTTTAATTACTTGATAAAAGATAGTGATAACTCTGATACTAAGCAGTTTGGCTTTCTTTAGTTAATAATGGGTCTGTCTGTGAAACCAAAGTTGCTCACTAAATTTAGAAACATTTAAAAAGGGATCCTTGTGTTTGTTAATGTTCGCCTGCTTGAAATGCAACTGACCTGTACTTTGCTGGTCTAGTGTCTGCACTGCTTGGGGAGGAAGATGAAGAGGTGTTGCATTATTTGACCAGAGTTGAAGTGACAGAATTTGAAGATATTAAATCAGGTTACAGAATAGATTTTGTAAGTATCCCTAACTCATCTCATTTGCCACTATGGAAATTATCTTGAGCTTTGGCTAGAGGAGTTATAGAGTATTGGTTTCTAATCCTCCTATCATTTGTTTCAGTATTTTGATGAAAATCCTTATTTCGAAAATAAAGTTCTTTCCAAAGAATTTCATCTGAATGAGAGTGGTGATCCATCTTCAAAGTCCACTGAAATCAAATGGAAATCCGGAAAGGTATGCCTTGAGGAATTATTGGCCTTCAGTAGCTTAGAGCTCTCGTTAGAAATTATAATGCATATTTGTTCAAGAATTACACTAAATATTTTTGGTTTCTACATTGGTGATAGAGCTCTTCAAATGGATTGCTATTCCCCAAAATCCATTTATATAGTGATTAAGTAGTAAGATGTATTTTAAATTTTCATGCTGAGTTATGCTAGTGGTTAAGGTAGAACTACTTTTATGAAAAAGCCAAGCTGTAGTTGGTACCTTCTCGTCTGAGAGAAGCAATCCTGTGGACCTAAAATTAGCACCATAGGATTGCTTTTCTCAGACGAGAAGGTACCAACTAGGAAGTTTGGCTTTCTTCTCAGATTTCTTTCTCTTTACCAGCTGTATATTTTTTAATTGCTCTTAATAATAGTGAAGATAATGTACTAATGTCTGTGTTATGTTCTGGTTTGGGGGGAAATCTTAAAATTTTTAAGTATTTATTTATTTATTTATTTATTTCCCTTTTTGTCTTTTTTCGTGACTGGTAACGGGATCGCAACCCTCGGTGTCGCGCCCGCACCGCCCTCAACCAGTGAGCAGACCGGTCTCTATATGGGATCCGAACCCTCGGCGGGAGCACCACCACGCTCTCAAGCGCCGCACTCTACCGAGTGCGCCACTGGGCCGGCCCTTTATTTATTTTTAATCACTTTTTTTTTTTTTGGTGGCTGGCCAGTAAGGGGATCTGAACCCTTGACTTTGGTGTTATCAGCACCATACTCTCCCAAGTGAGACGCC